CAAAGAAATGCGCTGTTATTTTGATGGTCGATCTCACGGATTTTCCATCTAGCATATGGCCTGAAATAAATAGCGTACTGCATCCTTTAACACCAGTATTCGTTGTGGGAAATAAAATAGATTTGCTGCCTCAAGATTCGAAATATTTTTTTACTCATGTTAAAGATTGCCTGTTGAAGGCTGTGGAAAGTACAAAAATCAAGAAGGAGAATATCAGACATGTAGCACTTATATCTGCGAAAACAGGCTATGGCATAGAAGAACTTATAAATAAGTTACATAACATCTGGAAATATAAAGGTAAGGATTCAAAATTAATCATCTAGAATCTAGAAGAACATATGCTCCAACATATTTTGTATTTATTATAATTATAATTTTTAGGAGACGTTTATGTTATCGGATGCACAAATGTTGGTAAATCTTCTCTGTTCAATGCTCTTCTACAGTCTGATTATTGCAAGGTACAGGCTGTAGATCTTATACAACGTGCAACTATTTCTCCTTGGCCAGGCACAACATTGAATTTGTTGAAATTTCCTATTCTAAATCCTAAACCATGGCAACTTTATTTGAGAACATTGCGATTAAAAATGGAACAGCAGCACAAGCATGCTGAAGAAAAATCTCGAATTAATCAGTTTGAAATGACACATAATTTAAAGTACGCCACATTGCAAAGTATGTATCGTACTTAGGTGTAAACTTCTCACAATCACAACACAATTGTATATAAAATTGTATATAATCAATTGAAAATTTTTACATTTTTGTTAGCATATGAAAGTAAATGTTATATTTTAAATTTAGGTCACATAGGCAGAACATTTCAATCAACATCCAAAAATGACCCGTTCATGGAAAGAAAATTTAAAAAGAATACACAATTCGGATTTGATGAGAATAAAGAAGAATACAAATTCAGCCGCTGGTGTTACGATACTCCTGGCACCATTCAACCAGATCAGATATTAGATTTGCTGACAACACAGGAACTTTTGTCGATTTTACCGAAAAAAATAATCTCGCCTAGAACTTTCATTCTACATGTAAATCAAACAATATTTTTGGGTGGAATAGGCAGATTAGATTATGTAGAAGGCGATACTTTTATTAGGTACTTATGCATATTTATGTGTGTGATTGCTAATAAAAAGGTAATAAATTAAAGGTATCCAGTATTAAAAACAATTGTATGTCATAGGTGTACAATATTTTCAAGTAACGAATTGCCGATAACTCTAACTCTTACTGAAGATGCGGATAATGTATACAACGAGTTACTTAAAACGGAAGCATTTGTTGTACCTGAAAACAATCCAGACCGATTGAAACATTGGCCACCTTTAGTATCTAAGGAAATGGAAATTACTGGTGTTGGTCGGAACGAATCAATCGCCGACATTATTTTATCCAGTGCGGGTAATTTTTCCTTGCAATAAATAAATTTATATTTGCGTAATGGCTTCCAATCTCATGGTATATTTTTACGAGTCAAACCGGCTGTTTCAGCAATAAAAAGGATCACGTGACTAAAACTGACGAATATCAAGCGTTAATTTTAATCACGTGATCCTTTTTATTGCTGAAATATCCGGATTGAGCGGTTTGTGAAAATATACCTTTACAACCATGGTTTTATCATTGTTACAGGATGGATAGCAATCGCTGCTGAAAAAGCTGAGCGTGTTTTATTGAAAGCTTGGAATCCACAAGGTCGCGGCTTATACCTAAGAACACCGGCGCTTTTGAAGAAATCTGTCGCTCTACGTGGCAATCGAATTTTAGATACACCGACATACAAAAGCGGACGCCAAGCATATAGAAAATAAATACTTTTTTTATATATGTATATTTTACATATAATTTAAATGTACTCTCGCTTTACACATATAAATTCCCAAACATTTATATATATATAATTAATTTATTCACACATTCATTATCTATTTTTATTTCATAAAACTGTGATAAAGGACAATATACTATATGATTGTATCAATTACAATGTCTTTGCAAAAATGCATATATGTGATAACAATTGAACAAGTATTAACATATATATGCCACCTCGGTCCAAAAAACTTTTTAAAATATTTGATAGATCTGCTTTAGAGAACAAAACTGTACTGTGTCTTTTGTGTGATTGACGATTCATTAATTATCCTGATGTCGAGCCTATTTCGTTTAACTTTCCACATAATTGGAGAGATATTTTTGGACCGGCGTAAAAGGAAAGTTTGGTGTCGGTCCGGCGTAACGTTTAACGTTAATACTTGTACATAACATATATTTTAATCAATACTTATAAATTATAATTAAAAATCTTATTCTTTTATTAAATAAGATTGCTTTGTTGGTATCATGGACACGCGCGCACGCACGCACGCACGCACGCACCCCCCCCCCTTTTTCACACACACACACACACACACACACACACACACACACACACACATCAATCTACTTCAGAATTTTGTATTGCTCCACTTGATGTTTCGAAACTTTTTTTATTAGTTAATTAATAAAATCCTTTTTTTCGATTGGTTAATCAAATCCTTTAATCAAAGCATTTGTAGCGCCAACTTGGACTGTATCAATTAAGATACAAAAATTGCGTTATAAAAAAACTTGAACGTTAATAAGATTTTTCAATCATCGGTCTCTCGTGCACGCATTTTCGCTTGCTTATACATTCTTTTGTAAAATTTTTCTAAATCTTTATAAAAGCCATAACTTGGAGAATAATCTTGAATGTATTCGTATTTCGGATCGCATCCCTCAATACTAAAATAATATTTTCAAAAGTTAAACGTTGTACGTTGTAGAACGATCGGGAATTTTATTCTAATTACTTACTTGTCTGTCATTTCAGTAGTGTGCCGTTTTTTTTTAGTTTTTTGAAGATTTTCGATTTTAGATTGTAATCTGTAAAGACATACATACTATATATGTATAATTAATATATATATTATATATATATATATGCGAGCGCGCATGTATGCGTGCGTGTGTGCGTGTGCGAGCGTGTATACATTTATAAATTTGGAGACGCTTGCAGTTTTCTCGCATTTCACAAAAACTGAAGTATCTTGGTGAAAAGAAGTCATACAGAAATTTTTTAAAATTCATTTTAAAGAAGAAAAATGCGCGCATATATATATATATATATGTATGTATATAAATATTGAAGAAATTCGTCCATTTTCAGTGTACTCACAATGGCATTACTCCTTCCTCTTGCGTGTCGAATGCGCCGTTTCTACAAATACAACCACATTCTCTGATATCAGACAAATTTCGGCAGTATTTTTGCTTAGTGTCAACATATTTCTTGATTATATCACAATCGTTGTATTTGGGAAAATAATAATTATACTTGAAACAAACTGGACAGTTGTCTGTAACGTGAGTATTATCACGTATGATGGTAGATCCGGCTAACTTTGGGAAATCTGGTTGACAAGTACACATAGAATTTCTCCTTATTGAGTGATAACATTGATCACTTTGCGATCCTGCTTGATAATTCGTGGTATATGAAGGACATTGATGAGAATCGCTTGATCTTTGACGGAACCTATTTATACATAATATATATATATTTATATATCATTAATAACATGTAATAATAATAATAATAATGCTTACGGTCGACAGCTTTGAGATCTTGGTTTATACTTAGCGTGACACACTCTTCGTTGTCGTATAATACCTTTAATCGGTCTTTTCTTCTGTCCACACGTCGTTTGCTAAAATTTACATATATATAGAACCGATATTACAAATTCGCTATTTTCAAGTGAATATAATATGAAAGAAGAAAATTATAAACGACATATGTTTGTCGATTTCAATTTGTATTTATAAAGTATAACACCTTAGAGATCATTTTTGGATTGATGACATAACATTTGCTTGTGTCATAGAATTCCAAGATTTCCTCGATAACCGTTTTGGTGGAGACCTCGATTTTGGGTGCTATGATACCCTGAAGCAAAACAATCGTTTTGTCTGGTGAAAAGTTTTCTTACAATTAGGTTAAACGATCAATAGATGCAAAAGACCTACGGGAAAACATTTAGTCGGCTCCATTAGAAGGTCAACATCCACACCGGCTAGTAAACCTTTGAAACATGGCGCAGGATACAGTAATTCTGCTAAATTTGTTTCAAACGTTGCCAAAGTAATACCTCGGCTAGCCGGTATTGCCCACTGTATCAATTCTGCATATAAAAATTCTTGCTCCAAAGTGTTTTGTAGCTCCGTCAAGGAAATTATTCCAACAAAGATTTTGTCGAAAGTAAATTTCTCGTGGAATAAGAGTGGAAGAATCGGGCTTATTGCGTGGGACTCTGCACAAGAATCGAGAGCATTGATTCGCAGAACCACTTTGCCATTGGGACATAACCAAACGCCAGGACATGTTACCTAAAACCGTGCCGCGTAAATAAGAGTCGTAAAAATATAACAGGAAAGTCATACATACGTACCGCGTGTACATTTAGCTGTACTTTAATGCGAAAAGCTCTCCCTGTCATCCCGTCCAACTATCTAATGACAATTTCATTAATTATATGATTAATAGCATTGTTGCCAAAATTTGTATACGTACGTTCAGATCGCTATCGCTTTGATAACTTCATAATGGATGATAGCAAAGTATAAATTTTCGACTTGTACGCTCAGATTGAATATCCGAGTCCAAATCTTACTTTTATTTGGACTTTGTTCGGTAAATAAAAGAGCGTACACGTATAACACTTTAAAGATCCATCCAGACCCATCTTGCGAAAGAGTTACCACGGTATTTGTTGCCAAGGAACAGCGACACAACATCGCTCGAATCAATGTATCGAATTTTATCAAGCAATTTTTTCAGCTGACTTTAGCGTCAAGTATTTAGCGATTTAGGTGTTATAATTAAAAGATCTCTTTTCTAACTATATATTTATTAAAAAATTTGTTGAATCATCAATTATAAACGAATTTTATTCCGCTTTTTAATTTGTTTGAGATATCTGTCAAACATTTATGTTCTAAACGGCACGCCAGAAAATCGTTTTTCCGAAAGACCTCTTTGTAGTTTTCGACGTAAGAGTTCATTCGTGACAAAATCTGATTGTTTTCTGGAGAAGCGTAATCTTGGATCTTTCGAAATGGGTATAAGCGATGCAGTGAACCAACCGTATCTATAAAAAAAAAACCGATTTGTAAAAAAAAACTTAATTAGTTTTCATTACTTCTGTCGACTTACTCCATATTTACTGTCGGCGGTTTGAACGAATAGATGTCTTTGGGTATCATCTCCATCTGTCGTTTAATCAAGTTGATATCGTCTTCTCTAACGTCTGACAGAGAGAAAACATCGTGCTTCGCATAAAATTTGCCAGTTAATGATTTTATATAAGTAGTAGGCACAAACGTTTCTTGCACATTTGTCAATTTATTCTCCTTTCTGTATCTTTCTAAATAAAAGCGTAGTTTTACAGGATTTATCAACAAATTAGTCGCCATAAATTTGTTTAAGTTAAACTCTCTAGTTGTTGCAAATAACGCGCGAGTTGTATTCAGTTGTATTAAGCTATTATTTCATAAACGAAGCGGAATTAAAGTTGACTGTCAAATTTCAAGAACTGTCATTCGCGTAATATCACACAATTAAATAGCGCTCGCATTCGTGTGAAGGGTAAAAAAAAAGAGTAAATAGCTTAAAGACAAAATAGTTGAAGAGAGTACCGATATTTATTTTAAAATATGTATATATATCAATATAAAACACATACGTAACAAGCGGAAGACCGTGAGGCTGATCAGTCAAAAGTTTTTAGGCCTAATATAACATCGTTGTTTCTTTTCTCGAAATTTTTGATCGATCCAATTAGAAACTACTTTCATAAGTACATACATAGTCAAACTTTCATATCTCTTCCTTTATGTCTTTTCGTTCCCTTTCCCCATTTGTCTTTTCGTGCTCCTCTCTCTTATTATTTCATACCTTTATTCTACGTCGTATGTACATAGTCAAGTGACGGACATAAAATAATGAAAGAGCAGCGCAATAAACAAACTGGAAGAAAAAAATAGCGAAAAGAATATAGATGGAAGGATTACGAAACTCCGACTGTATAAAGCGATACTCGCGTAAGGAACTAAAACGCGCCATTCGTGCCTTTTCTTTTACTAGTCTTTGGCCTATTGCACCCTAAAGCGATGCTTTAGGGTGCAATAGGCCAAAGACTAGTAAGTGCACGCTGCTTTGATTATCAACGATTCATTAGTTATTAATTAACGTGACGCTATAGAATTATAATCTTCTTGCTGCAGTCAATAATATATTTGACAATTTACTCTTAAAGTATTTATGTATTTATACAAATTATTTTTATCCTCACACTACGAATATAATTATGACAAAAGATAAACAGATTTGATATACTTTTCCAATAAAAAAATAACACCTATCGTATGCAGTTTAAATTTATTAAGTTGCCGCTTTGGAACGCAAGCTAGACCGATAAAATAAATGGCAAGATTTTTTCGTATCTCGTCACTGCGATAATTCTAATAGGAGCAGCTACCAACGTTTATATTTATATTTCTATAAATATCGGAGACGAAATGCTCTCTTAGCACGTGTTTACAGTCATAAGAGATAATGCCAATTCAATTATATTTTCCAAAAGTTAAATTCGTGTGTGTGTGCGAAAAAAAATAAGTGAAATATTTTCTTTCACATTTTTTTTGTAATTTTTGATGCAATATGAAAATAAATAAAAATTTCTGTGAGATGCATTTTTGTGTAACAAAGAATTTTGTGTAACGAAATTCATCACTGGTTAAGATACAATTACTCACGAAATGAGATTTTAAACCGCATCTAAAACAGTAATTTTAAATTTTTAAGCGTATATTTTAATATAACTATGTATATTCAATCATTTGTCAGATAACATGCATGTTGCATGAAATATCTAAAAGATGTCTCTTAGACATCTTATGCAACATAAATGTTATCTGGGTTAATATCGTTTCATTTTCATTGCCCTCGCGACTATTTCATCGCTATGACGAAGAAGCGTGAGACATTTTGACGCGAATCTGTATTATAAAATCGTTGTAGTTAAATGTATACGGTATATCATCATTTTGCAAAATTACATTCTGTTTGAATTAAATAAATTCCGTTCGGTAACAAATATATTCGATAGGCTATCCACAGCTGTCGAGGACGCATCCCTCTTTTCGCTGAAGCGTTGCACTATGTTTCTGAAAAAGAGAAATTCTTTATGCATCAAAGACGAAGAATTGAAAAGAAATTGATTGAAGGCGATTCATGAGATCGGCAATATGTAAAAATGGGTATCGATGTTGATGAATAATTAGAACAAAACCTCAGAGAATTCAATTTTATACGAATGAATGTATGTTCATTCTTTGTCAATTTTTTACTGTATATTTTTCTCGTTATATATAATTTTTCTGCTCACCAAGCGACTTACTGTTCCCTTGAACGATCTCCGCATCCGTGTAGGTTCTTGGTTTATCGGTGCTAAACTGTTGTAATTCCAAATTGCCATTGTGATTGCATCCGTTTTCACATCTGTTCAAATAGATATCCAGCAACGGTGATCGGCAGGTGTCACGTGGAGATAGATAGTCAGGATTGCTCGGTGACAAAATCTCCTCGTAATATTCTACGCTCTTCGGTTCTAGACCACCAACGGTGGAGCCGTATTTCTTCGGCAAAGTGGTCGATGTGCTCCTACCATAGTAAGAAGAATCCGCCATGCCGTCACTCAGAAACGATCTCGATAGAGAACTCTTGCACGAGACTCCGCCAAGATCGTTGTCCGCGATGACGTCCGTGCTATGATACTTGGCGCGAGAGGCGACAAGATCCAGCGTCGGGGACCTCACATATCTCCTCAAAGAATCATGCGAGGAAGACGGTAAGCCACTACCGTAATGATCGAAGAAGATTCTCGCATCCGTCTGATGACCGTATGATGATACATTCGATGCGTCGCTATACCTCTCTCGATCGACCGGTGATTTCCTCGAGGACACCTCGTCGTCGCCGTACAAAATATAACTTTTGTCCTTCTCCCTACGAAATATTTTAAATAACCAACAACGCTAGAGAAATCTTGGTTCATGAAGCGAATTGTGAAAACATGGTTCGATTTGCTTTTCTTATTATGTATCTATAAATTGTGGATCGCGACATTTAATTAATTTTTTTAAGCAAAAGTCAGAAAGAGAAGCAAATCTCGTAGAGTGAATTTACCTCGTCCTAGTAACTCCATAATTGTACAATCTGTCGCGCTCCCTTTCTCTAGAACTGTTGAAGCTGAACCTTCTAGGCAGACTGACGCTGTTCACTCCCGGTGGCGGCGCCGTCAAGGATGGCCTCTTACGATCGTTGAATCTCGAGTAAAAGCTGCGTCTTCGTATTCGATCTATCACCGATTCCGAGCTGTCGGAGCCGCGCATAAAGAGAGCGTACGACGGTGATGTGGGCGAATGCAAATCGCTGCGATTGTGATTTAGATCGGCCGAACAGATCGACCAGGAATCGAAACTCTCGGGTTCTTCGGGCGAAAACATCTCGCTGGTGCAGTCATCCGGTGGCTCTTTAGTCACCTCTTTAGTTACATCATTGTTCCCTTCAGAAGGATTCGGCTTGATCTCTTTCGGTTCGTTCGAGGCGAATGTATGATCGACGATTCGCTCATTGGAATGATCATCTCGCGACTCCACGTGATTCTCTATGATCCTGGCACATTCGGTGACCTCTCGCTTCAGCTCGGCGACATCTTTCGCTCGTAACGGCTTATCGATGATTATCTTGTTTCCGGTAATGTTGGCGTGGTGCGTCATCTTGGATAGACACTCCATCAATTTGTCGGAACCACTCTCCGCCGCAGGATCGTCTATTTTAGGTGATCCGATAGACGCGGCAGGTTTTGTTTTCGGTGAACCTTCAGGTGAATCTCTCTTGGGAGTCGTGTGTCTAAACGTGTGTTGCGGTATCTTAGATAAATCGAGTTTCAAATTCGCTCTATTCGGCCGATATTGCTCCAATGATTGTTGCTTCGACTGACAGATATTAAAATTCGAATCGACTCGAGTCGTAGAACTCGAGGAGCCTATAGGAGGCAAAGAGCTCAAAACGATTTGAGAATTCGATGCGTTCCCAAGCGTGGAATTCGCTTGCGAGACATCGGTAGATGATAAGTTTACATCGAATTTATCTGTTCCTTTAATATCAGCTTTTATCTGATTTGTATTTAAATTTTTCGTAGCATCCCTAGACTTCGCTGGCAGATCCGACTCCGCCTGTTTCACAGGCATGCAGGATGATTTCGCGGTAATCTGATCATCAGTTTGATAATTTCCTTCGATTGAACCTTCCGCCATGATACTCGGACCTTCAGGACTCTTCTCTTTCTTCGTCGTCACAGTTTTCTTCTTCGTAAGTAGCTTCGATGACTTTCCCTTCTCTTCGGACTTGCTTTCGGAACTGTCGGATTTTTTGACAACTTTCTTTACGACACGCACTATTTTCTTCTTCCTGGAATCGTTGGTCTCTTCTTTACTCGCATTTTCTTTCGACTTGACCAGTTTCTTAATCTTATTCTTATCAACGTCCTCGCCTTTGTCGACCTTCGTGACCGACTCATTTTTGCCTACTAGAGAATTAATGTTTCTTTTGGTTTTAATCAGTTTCTTATCTTCATTATTGATAATGGGTGCCACATGGACGTGCTTATCGTCCACGACTTTACGCAAAAATTCCGATGATTGATCTGACGATTTTTTGAGTGAATCTACTTTGTCTAACTTCATTCTATCCACGGATGACGACGCCGAGGAATCCGAGGAAGGCGCGGGTTTTTTAACTTCCCTCGATTGTTTTTCCACGAAAGGTTTCCTTTCCTTAGCGATCAACTCCTTTTCTTTCGATTTCTCCTTGGACGGCGATCTTTTACACATTTCGCTCACTATCTTCTCCGGCGATCTCTTGTTCTCCGGTAGCTTTTTCGTCGGTTTATTGTCGGTTCTAGCGAATTTCGTCGGTATTTTGCTCGTCGCGGTTACATCTTCCTCTAAAGACGACTCGGCCGATTTGACGCATTTGGGCGGGCTCCTTTTCAATTTACTCATAATCGCGTTTTGCGTCCGGTTGCTACCGTTCGCGTTCCGCTTCGTCGTATCCCCGTTCGTCTTGAATAATCCCAATACTGACGTCACGCGTCCTTTCGAGCTTGGCACATTCTTGACGTCCTTATTTGATCCTTCATGACGCGAAAGATTCTCCACGCTCAGCGTCTTCTTCACCTCGAGCAAACTCGATCCCGCAGAGTCCGCGGGTGAACACTCGATAGGCGGTGCAGAGCACTCGCGCAATCCACGTTCCTTCCTCGAGCTGCCGTTTATTGTCGGCTTCGCGACCATGCTCGTCGTCTCATCATTCGAGCGCAACCTTTCTAATTTTTTCTCCAGCGAATGCAGAAAGCTGCTCTTCGGGCCTTGTTCGACTTTGACTCTCTCTTTGTCCTCCTTGTTGGTCTTGTCCTCGAAGGAGACCGAGGAAGAGGAAGCGACCGCGACGGCACCGCCTAGTTTATCCTTCTGCAGCGTGTTTATTTCGTTTTTCTGTTCCTTGCAGATCTTCTCGTCTCTTGAATCATCCTCCTTGCGATCTTTGCTCTCGCTTTTTCGCCTCATGAACCGCGATTTTCGGCGCTCATTCTCCGCCGCCCTCTGCGCTTCTTTCTCCTTCACGTACTGGCTCTCCTCTCGTGGCGTGTCGAAAAAGTCCGGTCGCAAGAAGCGCGAGATACGATGTTGTTTCGATTTTTCGCTTTTGTTGTCCTTTGATTCGGCCTCCTTATCGGTGCCATTGCCACTACCTCTGAAAAGTTTGCTTAGGATCGACCTTTCCTGATTAACGCCTCCGGTCGACACGTCAGCTGAGCCGGCGAACGATTTCACGCTCGACTCTCTGGTCAACGAACCTGAACGTAATCTCAGACTTGGGATGCAACTGCGTCTCTTGGACGTAACGGAGTTTGCTGCCGACAATGGATCCGAAGTGGTCATTAGAGTTTCCTTGTCACACTTGTCCATATCTTTGTAATTGCAGCTGAGATTCGGATTGAATTGTTGTGACGTCAAGTTCTTCAATTTTGATTCTTTGATTAAATTTTCTGCCGCCATCAATCGATTCTCGAAACTCTTGGAGATGTCCGACTTGCAAATCGACTTACCATAATCACCCAGATTCGACGAGGATTCCGTGGGTGAGATCTCGCAGGATTTGGCTGATACGCTCGAAGTAGTGGTGGTAGTGACGCCAGTGGTATTTTCCACTGAATTAGTATTCGAGTTGCACGCAGATATCGATGTACCTTCCGATATAGAGCCGTTCTCCGTCACATTATCAATTTCTTCTTTGCAAATGGACAAGTGTGTGTCATCGCCGGGCTCTTCCTGGATCTTGTCCGTTCTGTAACCATGAAAGCTATCTCGTCTCGCGTTACCAATGACACTCGATCTAATTGAATCCTTGTACTTGCGACCCAGCGTCATTATGTGTTTCGGTAGAGGCGGCAACAGCTTGTCATCGCAGTCGTCGTCGTCGTCCTCGAATAGGCTGATGCTTCTTCGCGGTGAATGCCGTTCCAATTTATCATACTTACACGGCTCTAGCAAGCTGTTGGTTCTCCTAATACCTCGATCGAGCGATCTACCTCTATATTCGGTCCTATCAGAAGTCGTAGACGTGGAATATCGTTTCGCGATTTCGCTCGGGCCTACCAGACTCTGCGCAAAATCCCTCGTCGGCGACTGATAATATCTATTACCGTCGCGTGAGGAGGATGGTGAACGCGGCACAGACTGTCGGGTTTGTTCAATAAATTGTCTACTCAATCTGCGTGCTAAGCTGGGAGTGAAATTCTGCTCCAGAGATTCTTGCGTCTCCCTTCTGATTTGTGCCGCTGTTTCTGCTTTAACGTCTTCTTCGTGTACCTCTACTTTATCTGAAAGCAATCGAGACAGAATCTATGCATATTCTACATGGGTATGTGTGTCCGTATATGTGTCTGCATAATAATTGGACAACGATTGGATGTTGTTCTTGTTGCTGTTGTTGTGTTGTAGGATGTATGCATAAGAATACTCGTAATGTCATTATATTTTCACTCCTTTATTTCTACATACATATAAATCTCTTTTATAAAATTTTTCGAAAAATGTAATAAATAAGAAGAGACATCCCTCCCTCTCCCTCGCTCTCTCTCTCTCTCTCTCTCTCTCTCTCTCTCTCTCTCTCTCAAATTTTATTGAATTTCATCGGATGTCTTCTTAAACGGTTCTGTATAGCTATACATAGTACATTTGTAGGTAAAAGTATCGATTAGAGGCTCCAATGACCTTGACCTTGACATATATTGTCAAGGTCATGACCCTAAGTAACTTCCAACAAGTTTTAGCCGTCGTTCGCTCTTCGTTAAAAAGTTATTAGCAAAAAAGTTTGAAAAAATAACGTCTTATTTCGGCTATATATAATATCAGAAACTATTCTAGACTACATCCACCTACTGCATTCCACCTTCTTCATTGTCTAGAAGCACGTGACTTTCCACGCGAACACAAGTTCATTGCTTTAGCAGAAAATTTGTTTTTAATGCGAAGAATTTGTCTGTTTAAAGCAGTAAAAATGAATGTTTCAATAAAGCTTGGATAATGCCCGCTTTAATAAAGCAGGCATTATCGATAACATATATACTTAAATATTTTGTATTTTATATCATTCTATTTCTCTCTCTCTCATATCATCAAATTAATTTTAGTTACTTCAACAATGGATTCTCGATAAACAGAAACCAATTGGTGGAAATGGCCACATTGTGGAATTAGACGAGGCAAAAGTTGGCAAGAGAAAGTACAATAAAGGTCGTATAATTGAAGGACAATGGGTTTTTGCTGGTATTGAATATAATACCAAAAACATTTTCATCCTATCTGTATCAAATCGATCCAGTAACACTCTCTTATCAATTATACGAAAATATATCCTGCCTAGTTCAATATTTATACGGATCAGGCGTGCATATAAGAACCTTGATGATGATAACAATTACATTCATTGTACTGTATATAATAGTTTCTGATATAGCCGAAATAAGATGTTATTTTTTCAAACTTTTTTTGTTAATAACTTTTTAACGAAGGATGAGCGACGGTTAAAACTTGTTGGAGGTCACTCAGGATCATGATCTTGACAATATATGTCAAGGTCAAGATCATTGGAGCTTGATCCCCTAATCGATACTTTTACCCATTTGTATTCATATACGTCGATGTATATTTTCAAGTCAGGGAAGCTCTCTAAACGTGTGACTATTACGCTCTGCGCGATATCAATAACTTAGAATAAAGGGAAGATTTTGAAATAGTCTTAAGAAAATCATATACAAATGATAGCTCTTTGAAGATATGCATCGACGGAACTAGTAATAGCATGTATACATACCATATCTTTTTTATATTTAGATATTAATACAGAAAATTATAAGTGTATACTCATTTAACAGTGACCATGCAACTAAAAGGCTCGTCTTACACATCCGAGGGAAAACAAATATAAACAAGTAACAAATAACAATACAATTGATAATAGTATTAAAATTACGTTTCGAAGAATAAATATGCATATCACTTGGTACACTTCTAAATCACAGTATGTTAAATGAGTAGACTCAGGACAACAAGTGCATAGTAGGATATAATATTAAATACAATATATATATATGTATATATATATATATATGCATTACATCAAAGCATGCGAAGACAATGTGAAGTAATAAAAACGCTGTTATTTAAACTCTTAAAAACACAACAAATATCAGCCATTTCAGACAAGGGTTAGCTTCCGCTTGCAAGTATACAATCATTTTCACATTTTTCCTTTTTTTCAAATAACAATGTCATATAGATAATTTTCTTTCGTATAACAAAGTTATTTTCAAATTTTTAAAATATGGCAACAAGTAACTTATCTAGTAGTAACAATTTTCGCGCGTTCGGTATGACTTATTCCAATGCTGCACAATGTCACATCACGTTTATAGCTATCACTCGCTAATAACGGAGTTTCAAGTACGAGCGGTGTATTTAAAACTATAAATATACGCACTTCACTCGCTATCGGTTTATATATTAAATATATACACTGTCATGTACTTACTCATTTATTTTTATATTTTTCTATTATTTTACTCAAATATATTTACATTGTATATCTGTATACACTCGAGAATAAATCATACCAAAAGATAATCCGAGGTTCACAGAAACTCGCGAACAGGAAGTTTGGTCTCATCAAAAACGCACGTGACAAAAATGTTAAAAGTGTATATTGTTCTCGAACTTTATAAGTTGCGCACAAGCAAAATTATTATAATGCAAAGATGCGAATGTCTTCCCGCATCACTGTGATCAGAGACATTGTGTGGTAACATAAGTAGATTGGCCAAGTACACTTTCCAGAAACACATCGAACAAGTGCGCGTCACCGAACGGCGAAAGATTCTTTTCTCTTTTATATTTTCAGAAGTATAAGACTACGTGCGACTTTACCGACGTCACATTCACTTTGAATTAGGCATATAAGATATTACTACCTAACTTGGTTTGTTTATTGAGGATTACCGTCAGCCCGCCTACGTAGAGTCACTCGCACGGTCGCTGCAACAACCGTCAATAAAACCGTCAATCAACGTATTACAAAACGACGTCACTTATAGATTTTTCTACAGTATATTATCTTCGATAATAATTGTTTGCTAATATAATGGCTAAATGCGATGCCAATGAGATCTTAATATATATCATATTAAGCAGGGTCTTCCTTGAATTTTTTATTGATGTAATTTACGAAAAAGTTTATATTTTTATTTTTATCATCGTTATTCTTTTCAGTTGCATTTTTATTTTTACCTTTTGTATTTTTGTTATATTTTCAGAAATAATAAGGGATAAAAACAAAGGCTTTATTGATTGAATATTAATTTTCTCAAATATAAAAGTAAATAAAAAAAGATTGTTTCAGAAGTCCCTGTCGTTAAGTTAATCAAGTAAAATATCATAAAACTTTTATTGTAATTATGTACATACGAGAGTGCTAACAAACAATTATTTTAATTACTGATTGAAGAGTCGACGATAGACGTAAATTAATGCACGAATTTTAATTAAACATGGATTTCTCTGTCTTGGATAATGGAATTGAGACTCTTGTACATTGTATATGGATATGTGTGCAGTCATGCTATAAAATTTAATGTACAGATTAGGTGAATGAAAAAGAAAAACTGCTACTACGCTGTTACAAGATAATAAAAATCAACAGCAGCAATGCATTGCAACAATTATGGCGTATTACAAGGTTCTATGTCAGGCAAAGTGAGCTTGCTGTTTACTCTATGTTTTTTTCATTTACTTAGGGACAATCCTATTTGTTATTTTATTAGCTATTTTAATATTAAAATATATATATGTATATACACATATATTTCGTATTAAAAATTTCATTTACAAATATCGCTTAAATAACAGACCCTGCTTTTATACATTTGAATAAATAAAAAATTGACAAAAATGAATTTAAATGAAAAAAAAATAAACGAATGAAATTATTAGAAAAAGATTGTCCCAAAGGATTGGGTCGTGCAAACATGCTTTTGAGAATACAAGATCTAAAAATAATTGTCAAAAAATACGTGTTATTCCTCAGTTATATTTTTAAGAAAATAATATAGAGTAACTTTTAATTACATTTCGGTACTTGAAATGTTAAATCTGACATTTGGAACAAAAACAAAATACGAATTATTTTGTTTTGAAAAGAAGAGAGATACATTGCAATAAAAAAGGAAGATGTTTTAAATATCATTTTTAATTCATTCGGGAAATAAACGTGTTTATCTCTTTTGTATAATTTTTCTTTCTTTCTTTGATTCTATCTTTAGAACCATTCCCCTGAAATATTATCAAGAATTACCGCGCGCACGCGCAAGTGTATATGTAAACTATTATACATATACGCAAGTATTAATAATTAAATAATATTATAATAATTTATATAATTTTTTCTTACTTAACACAGATTAAATATTCATATTTATAAAATTACAAATAATAAGAGATCTGTTTTTCAAATCTCGTTATACTCATCTGTGCCAAACATGAACCATATAATCTATAGGGTGTTAGTATCAAAGGTTGCAAAACAGGCAAGAAATCAAAGAATTAACATATTGAAGTAACAAATTGAAGTAAAAAAAAAAGACAGAAACAATAAGGATAAAAGTAAACAAAATAATGTGCTCTGTCTATCAACGACTCGACAACAGCTAGATACTAGGAGATGCATACTGAATACCATCCAGCATTTTCTCACAAGGCTAATAACCAGTGACAAAATAGCATGATGACCACAGCGATTTAGACAGAAGCTTTTATTAATCGTCTTATATTTTTAATATATATTTAATTATAATTATAATTATAATTATAATTATAATTATAATTAATTCTGTACATGATAACATTATTAAATTATCAATTATTAATACATCGAGTCCTCTTTAAATATATTAAATAAAAAAAAAACAAATTGAAGAAATAAAAAATTTAAAACATCTTTGGCTTCTGTAAAATTGTGGGTCGACATTCTACAACATTAAATATTCGTATGTACAATTTGTAGTGGACCTTGGACGACAATGGATTCGTAGATTATGTAAATGTCGAGAAGATATTTATCATTTTAAATTTGACTTTCGTTACGTGCACGTATATAATTCATTCTACGATCTCGCGCGTATAAGGTACCACGTTAAATTGTAAAATGACTACACTCTCTTACCTCTTGGCAAAGTGTTGTTTCCGATTTCGAAGACATTTTCTCTGGAAGATGTGTTGTGCGATCCTGGACTATTTGGAGTTCCGGGATTAGAAGTACTGGCGGTGTCTCTCTTTGAAAATATATCCGTATCGCGATTCAGAGAATGTTTAAATTGCGATTCCGAGAGCCGCCTGCATGCACAAGAAAACAACAAAATGTCACTTCTATGTACGAATTATCATAATGAGCGGACTTACGCTCATTACAAAACGTATATTAGAAAAAAGATATCGAAAGAAAGATGTTCACATTCAGTATAAAATTTTCTGTGATGAAAGTGTGTGTATGTGTGTGTGCGTGTGTTTGTGTGAGAGTCAAAGTCTACAAAGGCGAAAGCGTGAATACCAGTAGGAAGGTGTTGGCAAGAAGCAAAGAGTGTCAGCCTATGCGGATTGATAGCAGAGATTTCGAGCTGTTTATTTTCACAACGTGTACACTACTCTCAGGTATCCGATGAGGTACATGGTTAAGCCAAAGTGGGCGAAATTAGATTGATACAAACATGTGCATGTATAAATATGCGATCTAAATTTTAACCTGCTTGTAGCGTGTGTCCAATTGCAATTTCTTTATTTCGTTTTGTTAAATGATTTCTACTACTTGTAACTCAGCTAACAGGCGCGTACACTAAGTTTTCTATTACAATTTCTTTCTGTACAATTGGACTCACGTAGTCATAGTCCGTGTTTCGACATAGCTCTCGTAGCTTGCACAGACAAGCATAAAACCATCATCTCATCATTATCGTTATTAAAGTTAAAGATTTTTAAATGAAAAGTTAACCATTACAGAAGTTTTATCGAGATGTCAGCGTTAATCCAAGCTCATTATCGATATGCCTGCTATATATTAAGTCCAAATGAAAATAATCAGACTATTCCTCATATATATGAATAACAATTCGAGATCATGTTTTACCTGGATAATGGCTTGTTAAGACCCCAAAACGATTGCGACGATTGAGAGCCGAGTCTGCCGAACAGTCTACTACTTGGAAAACCGCCAGATCGATTATCATCGACATTGAGTCGCTGCGTCAGACTTCGTACTCTAGATAGTAACGTAGAGAATAAGTTTTCGGCAGTCAATAACTCGAAACCGTCATCATCGTCATCCTCGCCAGATGACAGGCTGTCGGCGTGCTCGGAAGGTTGCCTAGATGGCCGCGAACTTCTCAATCGATGCATATGTCTTTGTAACAAATCCTCTCTGTTAAGAAAAGCAAAAGATTATCATTTAAATTTAGCAATACAAATCTAAATTTATAACATTTATTGTCAGCTAACACTCTCAAACTATATCAGTATAAAACAGAATTTGACATAAACCATCAAGATTAACTACATTTACCCATGCAATGGAGAGAAAGGAGACTCATCTTCGCTAGCATCCGATAATAGAGAGCTCATTCTTCTTGGTCTACCAAATCGGGATCTCGAGGGATTCGTACTTGTTGGAGTACCAGTCTTATTCTCCGGCTCCAGACTACCCGATCTGGGAGTAACGTAACCGCCACCCTCTACCGCAATAGGAATTATGTACTCTCTAGGACTCTTTCTGATTGGTTCCGGTCCCACAGTTGAACCGAGAGCGCTGTCCGTGTCTGAATCGGCAGTCGATTGGCGAGACAAAGAATCTGATTGTTGAGACATTGATCTCTGGGATATTGACGGTTTAGGCGGTGGTGTGGACGAATGCTGCGTACGTTCATGTCCTGTCTCTACCTATATTTTTTATAATTTTATAGATGTAAAAAACAATTCTTATTTCATCAACTTTCAAATTAAAAAAAATATATATCCAAAATAAACATGTTAATCTTTCTGTACCTGAATAGGTATAATTCTTTCTCTCGGAGGTGTAGCCTTAGGTCTGTCTTCCGGTTCTAAACTTGAACTTCTGTTTGCATGAGGCACCGCCGCGGCAACCGGGAACGCCACCTCCGATCTCTGGGTGCGCAGTTTCTGCGGCTGGAAAGCATCAATTTTAGCTTCTACTTCGGACTTGAACGCTACAATTTCTGGCGGCCTGACCCCGGACAATGTAATTTCAGCTTTGCTTGTTTTTCGTCTGGGCAATGTTGCACTCTTTAATGTTATTTCCATTTTACTAGATATTTTTGGTTCCTCCAATTGCGAATTTTCGATACCAGTTGTGTCAGATGTATTAGTCGTCTATTAAAGAAAAAGAAGTAAAACAAAACTAGATGGAAGTTGAACATATAAACAATGTATTAACAACATTTTAGTTTCGTACTTACAGTTGCTTCTGGTGCCATTGACTTAACATCAAGGTCGAATTTTGTCTCAATTGGCGTGGAGACCGACACTGTGGCTGATCGCATGTCATTTGGTGCAACCTGTATCTTCAGTCCGAGTTTCTTGGAGTTTGGACTCTGAGGCGATATTGAGCTCGGTGGTGAGCCGTTCAACTTCTTCTGCATTGGAGGCTTACCGATCGCGCCACTAATGATATCGATAGCGCGTTTTTTCGCTTCATCTCGCGTATTCAATTTATCCTCGGTGCCAATGATCTCTTGATTCCCCAGTGCCTGCTTCTGCTCATCCTTCTCGCCTGTCTTAGTGGTTGGCACATCGATAATAACTTTAGACGCGTTTACTTTTGTAGGAGGTGGCGTGATTGCGGAGAGACTGGCCTTTCTTTCGAAGGCTCGTTTCGCACCTCCCACGTTAACGCCGGGAATAAATATCTTTTTAGGTTTCTCATTTTCCGCAGTAGATGACAGTTGGTTGAATTTTTCAGCCGTTTCAAATATTTTGGAGCGTCGTCTCTCAACGAGTTTAACAGGTGGAGCGTTTGCCACTTCATTCGATAGTTCGGAGAATTCTAAAGAAAGCGCTTTTTCTTTCAACTTTTTGAACTCGTTCTCCGTTGGTTCGAATTGCTGTATATCTTGTGGCGTTTCGTTTGTAACACTCGTGTCGCTTTTATTTGGCACTTTTGATTCCAGATTATCTGACTTTTTGTTGAACGCTATTTCATTTGCTATCTTATTCATACTTTCGGAAGCAGTTTTTTCCACCACGTCTTCGTATAAATTCTTATTAAGAGACTTTGTACGCTTTTGTTGCGATTTATCTTGCTCATTGCTAGCCTTTTGATTAATCTCACAAATCTGAGCGCCCTCGATAGACATTGGCTCGCGTGACTGTTGATATTCGCTTATCAACGGAGTCTTACTTCTCTCTTTACTTGGCGATCTCTCCTTTGATTCTTCAATCAGCTCTAGACAAGCTGCTTCTATTTTAGCAAAATCAGCAGTCTTACTCGTAGGAACAGTTACAATGGCTGTCGGTTCCACCTCCATCGCCTCCTCCGATATAGAATTTGGAATTGGAGCTGAATGGTGTCTGGGACAACAATGTTTGATGTTACGTCTCTTCATATTAATAGGAATTAAATGTTAATATCGATTAGAAAATAATTTCAAGATATATATTTATAATTTACCTAGATGAAGATTTGTACATCCTAGGCTCTCTCTCGTCTGACTTTTCTTTCCTTCTAGATCTCTCTTTCCTCTTCACGCCCGCCGCAGTCGTTTCATCCATCGACGGTGTTGTTTCCAGTTTTCTCTTAGCGTCTCCAGCCGCAAAAGACCTCGGCTCCTCCTCGAACAACTCTCTTATCCTCCTGTCGGAGTTATTCTGATCGAGCTCCATTAAGCTACCGACTGAATGACATCTAGTAGGCACCAACGTATCGGAAGACATATTATTCGCGACATCTCCGCCTGCTTGCTGATCGCCCCCTACTAGCAATTTCTCGGCGCTGGCCGACTGTGGCACTAGAGAGAGCAATAGATCCAATCGAACTGGAGTCTGAGCCGCTAAATCCTCTGCGATATCGAGACAATTTTGTTCGTAACCTTCGTTCACCCACCAGTGGGTGCAAATTCTCTCGATATCAGCACGTTTACCGGGACACACCGTAAGCATCTCTTTTATAAGTGGCGAAGCGGCTATAAAAAAGAAGATTTGATTGAATAAAATTAAATTATCATTTCATTTACTTTATACAAATTTCGGAAGTTAAGAAATTGTTTCAATACGAGATTATCAAATCTTATGCTAATTCGATAAATTGACAAAATTTCTTGTAATTTATATTTTAGCATTTTGATATTTTTTTATAGTACTGCACGCGAGGGCGTCGCACGTTATACGAATGTTATACTTACGGGATGGTTTTTTAGGCTCAAAATAATCAGATTGTGAGATCTGCTTGACTAGTCGTTTGAAGTTAGACCCATCAAAGGGCATAGCACCGTAGACCAATGTATACAGTAGAACACCTAGACTCCAGCAATCCACTTCTGGTCCATGATAAGGAGTTCCTTTCACTATCTCTGGACTCGCGTATAATGGACTGCCACAAAACGTGCTTAATAATCGCTGCTCGTCGAACACGTTCGAAAGACCAAAGTCGGCTATCTTGGCGTTTCCGACTTGGTCCAACAAAATGTTCTCAAGCTTCAGGTCTCTGTGACAGATTTTATGTTTATGGCAATAGAAAACAGCAGTGGCTATTTGTCGGAATATTCTGCGGGCTTCGTGTTCGCTCAAAACTTTGCGCTCGCTTAGATAATCATATAATTCTCCTCCGGCTGCATACTCCATCACCAGTACCATTTTCTCTCTGTTTTCGAAGACTGTAACAGTAACGATCCTCTTTTAATAATTCTGCTAAGTAGGCCCTTATGGAGATAAGCATTAATATTATTGAAGCCAATTTTAATCATGCCTACATCTATATCCATTCTAATCGATTCCCTTTCCTGTCAATTCATTGGCTGTCATGAAGAAATGAAGAAAGAGAATTTAATCGAGGCTAAGATTAACTAGCTCATAAATAGCATAGATTATTCCTATACACTTGTGTTATCCAAATCGTAATACGTTATCGTATCATGAACATTACCTTCGTAAATGTGAATAATATTTGGATGTTGAACGCTCGACATGATCTGTATCTCCCTTCGTATTCTGATGAGATCAGCCTCTGTTTCTATTTTGCATTTTTTAATTGTCTTTATCGCCACTTCTTGACCAGTTTCCTTGTTTATTCCTAATTGCACCTTACCATAGGTACCCTGTCCTAATTTCTTTATGATGTCAAACCTGTGAGATGAGCATGTTTAGTAGATGGTCTAATTCTCTTCTTGTCAGTCTAATCGAATCTAATTGTGGAATGCAAATTTGCAATTGCGATTTATCTATTAAATTAATCGTTATTAAACTTTGTTCATTTCAAGCAATTGAAACTATCTCAAGCAATTGAAGATTTGATAAATTATTCCAATGTTTTATATTTGGCAATTATTGAAATCATTTCTTTGGTTTCATTTTTCTGAAGCTATACATTTGGAAGTATTTCTGTACACGTAAGCAGAATAATATGTTATACGACTCAACAACTAGAATTGACTTACAAACCTTTGCTTCAGCTTCCGCTTGTGATTATGAAGACGTACGCCACCCGTGCTCTCCATCCCACCCATTATATTATGTATACTTGCTTCTCCGACAACCATTTTGTCTGCGTTTATCTGGAATGAAAACACATCACAGATTCAAATGTTTTTCCGATTTAAATATTTTAATTTTGTTGCATTTCAAAATATCAACATTATCATAGCACGATCTTTCTTCTCTTCTCTTCTCTTCTCTCCCTCTTTCTCTCTCTCTCACACAATTTTTTTTTTAATTGCTTTCTATCTTCCAGGCAAGCTGTCGGCGTGGTCCTACTCTCTCATAAACGAGAATGACAGCGGCAAAGGGTAGCTATAGCCATCCGAGTCTTACATTAAGAAATGAAGAAAGCGAAAGCGAAGAGATGAGGAAGAAGAGAGAGAGGGAGAATGTGGTAAGTTTATTTCGGGCGTCAAGACGCCAGTGTATGTGCCGACCCATCGTCGGTGGATTTCTTCTCTGCACTGTCTCCTTGTCCTTCCTACACGTACCAAAAAGATTCCTCGTCACTAAATTCTACATTCGTAAACTCTTCAGATTAGTGTTTTACAATAACACATATCTTAGCTGTGCACAATATTGTCGATCTGCATTTTTTAATCAATCGTACGAATAATAAGAATTACATACTGATGCAATCAATATATTTAGTGAATAGGCTGGAGGAGATTTGATAAAAAGATAAATATATTAAAGTTATAATAGATATATAATAGTAAAATGTAAATCAAAAATAGCAAAAGCAGTTTCAGCGCGCGCTATATGACACGGTTATTACATATTATATTGCAAAAGATACAAGGTCAAGTGAAAATAAAGCGTGATTTTCCTCAAAGAGGACTTCAGATTATATATTCTATTTCATTAAACCGTAATCTATGAAAATAAAAGTACCATAATAAAAGTACCATAATAATAATAATGTGTATATAGCACATTGTTGGCCAGTTTGGTTGATATGTAATATGTATTAACAAGCTCAGAACTAATTCTAAATTCTAGTCTCGTTTCTCTCGAGTAATTTACCTTTACTCTATATGCGTGACTTACGTCACTGCAGTTCCGAAACCATTAATTTTACTTTCAAGCGATTAAAGGGATATTATTATTACCGGTACGAAAGATAAGCCAATTTTCAGAATTTTTCGCGAGAAATTTTTGTCACCAAAATAGCTAAACACTCGCATAAATTACACTGTTTCGTCAAAATTCGACGATGGTTCACCAATGAATCATCGCATGTAAGTACAGTAAGTTTCCAAAGCTCTTGAATTTTATCTTGTTGGGGGGGGATTAAGTGCATTGATAAAAAATTCGGTCGAAATATCGACAGCTTTCGAATAGCGATTGCGATACTAAAGATTTGTCGCCTATGTTTTAGGAAACAAAAACCAATATTGACGATATTAATTGTCGCGATTAACATTGAATGACGGCATCTCGTTGCGTGTACCCAGCCAAGGATTGCTCTTGGAAGATAAGACCCGAAGGAAGATGATCCTACCAAGTTCTTTGACGGACGGTTCGTCCGAGATGGTAGACGACGCGACGAGAGCCTCGTCGCTTGGCTATTAATGCATCGTCTCGCGTGATGGCGAACGGCTGACGAGTGCGCTTAAGGAAGTTGTAAGGCAAATGCAATATGTCAAGAATTGCTTGAAAAAAATTACAGATTATTCTAAACTGCATTTAAAGGTAACACAAAAAAATTAGAGACAATTTACCATCTGGATCAAAAGTTATATATTTCAATAAAAAGTAATATTTTTTAAATTTATTAATCTCTAATAGAAATATATGAAAATGTATTATAAAATAATGATAAAAATCAATTTTTTTATTTAAGTACTTTATAAATTCAAAAATGTTGATGTAAAGTTACATTGAGATGCAGACATTAATAGTTCAGTAAACAAATAAAATATTTATTTATTATAAACTAATTGGTGAATCTCAATGAAATTTTGCATAAGTCATTTGTAATACTTAAAGTACTTACACAAAAAATTTAGATTTTTATTATTTAAAAAATTTTTGTTTATAACAATAACAAATAAAATAAATAATTTATAAAAATGTGTTGCTTAATAAAAACAGAATGTTATGAACACAACTTTCACATGTAAGTAGTTTGTTTAAAGCGTAAATATTAATATATGTTTTATACCCTTACAACCTTCTTAAGTTCAGTGAGCAACGGCGACTACTGTTGCCGAGGGTGAATGAAACCGAGAAAGCAACGTCGTGACGCTGCATGGTCTCGTGATCGAGTTTCTTGTCGATCACGGACTTGGAATATACAGGTTTCGATACCATACTCATGACACATGATGTCGACAAGTTGCCATTGATGTCGCTTGGATTAAGAAAAATCGACAATGAAAATAGGCGCGAAGCCGCTGCTCCGTTCTCGATACACTCCCAATCGGTCGCTCACTCGATGCGTTACGGTATTTTTAGCGAGCATGTAGACCCGCGGTAGCAAAGCTCTCGCCGGTGATCTCCAAGGACCGACTGACTCGAGTCGTAACGGCTCTTGTCTCTTTACGCGCGATCAGTTGATCTCTCGTCAATCTGATCACTTTGGATTTCGTCTGGTCCGACCGTCTCTCTCATTATTTCAATTCGATTCTACTTGGATAAAATGCCACGAAATAGTTTCCGTAGAAACGTATTCGCATTATCTATTTTTTATCGCGTACTTGTAAATGTTACATTTTTTTATTATTTCTTGTTATATTTTGGCCTTAATTATTGTGCGACATTCTATTCACGAATCCTATTATTCTTTCTGTCTACGAGCGATTTTGTTAAAGCCTAAGAGAGAGGAAGGCATATAATATACACTCTCTCACGATAGAATTTAATTAAAGATATAGAGTGAGACAGTATAAATGAGATAGAATATATGCTTTTCTCTCTCGTAGGCTTTGACAAAATCGCTCGTAGCTAGACTCTATTATAGAATCTCGAGGTATAAATGACTGATATTACGAATTTACTATTTAATACGGTCAATCGCACTTTCTTTCTCTCTCTCTGTTTCTCGGGTAAAGATTAGTTATTTATGAAGATGTAAAGGTGAACGCACATAGAAGTAAAAGTAAGCAGCAAGCAGTAAGGGCCATGGCACACAAAAAAACTTAAGCAGTAAAATGTAAGCAGTAAGCGAATTGACCAATCACAGTAGAGTCCATAAGGCCGTAACATAAGCAGTAGCGAATCCAACATGTTGATTTCCTTACTGCTTACATCTTACTGCCTTAAGTTTTTTGTGTGCCAGGGCCCTAAGCAGTAATGCGTGGTCTACAATGGCAATAGCAGTAGTGGATGAGATTGTAATAATTGAACAATTACAGTTGAATGTAAGAAGAATAATCGACTGTGATTGGTCAATTTCTTACTTTTACAGCCTCATCCACTGCTACTGCCATTGTAGACCACGCATAAGACGAAGTAGGCAATTAACATTGCCAGTATATCTATACATATGAAAGATGGCGGTCTTACGTCTTACTGCTTACTGCTTACTTCTACTTCTATATGCATTTACCTTAATGCATTTGAGTATGACATCACTACGCTCGCGGATCGATGTTCTCTTGTCATTCATTAACATAATAGGTTTGTTCTTTTTAGATAAAGTTCTTGCACGGTTCATCTTTCTTCCTTTTCTCTCCGCATTGAGGAGAAAAAAAGAAAAAATTAACCGTGCAAATTCAGCTAAAAAGAACAGATCTATTATCAACTTGCTTTCGACTGCGCGATTAAAAACAGTTTAGATGCAGATCTCTATGGAGAATTGGCCATTGACAAATGTATTTATTGAGAAGTGCTCTCATTATCCCCCCCATCGTGAATATTCGCGCGACAATACTCGATAGTTATATCGAGGATTATGGAAGTTTAAAGCTACTGACAATTACATCTGTTCCAAGAATTCTATTCTGAAAATTATGTGATCGGAAAACAGTTGTGGGATTCTCTAAACGTTTTATCGACAATTGTCGCTACCATTAACTAGCGACAGCCAATAAGAGCCGCATTTTGACATTGGCTGTCGCTAGTTAACTATAGCGACAATCATTGATAAGACGTTTACACCCAGTTTCACCAAGCCGATTAAACTTAATCGATGATTAACTGTCAACCGCAATTGGTCAATTCTACTAAACAGCAAACGCGATTGGTCAATCAACGGCCGATTAAGTTAACTGGTTTGGTGAAACTGGCTCTTAGAGAATCCCGCTACAGGGTCCCTATTTTTGAAAAGTATCGCATACAAAGAACTAGGGAAATGCTATAATATATGTAACGCATATTATAGTATTTCCCTAGTTTTTCGTATGCAATACTTTTCAAGAATAGAGGCCCTGAGCCCTGTTTTCCGATCGCATAATTCTTAGAATAGGATTCTTGGAACCGATGTATTTGTCAGTAGCTCTAAACTTCCATAAACCTCGATGTAACTATCGAGTATCGTCGCGTGAATATTTGTAATTATATATTTTCAAGAATAGGAGCCCAGATCCGAGATGGAGTATATCGTAATACCGTATATCCTCGAGGTTCTTATGAAGCGTGCAAGGGCAGAGAGTCATTTGAAGAATCTGATTCGACCAGGTCAAATGAAACGTGCGTGGAATATGCCACTATCGCTGCACGGTATGTAGGTTTGTATCGACGAAAATAGCGTTCCGATACCTCGAGGAAGTCCCTTCTGATAAGTCATTTACGAAGCAGTTGGATCGGGCTTGCGATTACGTATGCGCGTGTACCGTATATGTATATACTTATGCACTTGTATATGCGTACACGCGCGTGCTCTCTTGATGACGAGCCGAGCGCCTCTTTTATCGTTGGATAACCTCACGACGCCCACGATAGGAAGAGATCCCGTACTTTCTAATCATCTTGAGCAATTGTATCTATGTTTGGATTATTTCAGGTGTCAATCGAGAATACCAGGTAATTTCGAAATAACTGAAAATGGAATATCAAAGAGAGTTAGTGGCAAATAAAATTCTGTGAAATAACGTCATACGTCGTAAGATTATACATAAAATTATCATAGACTCGTTATCCCCCTTCCCCGTCCGAGGTATTAATTACTCCACGATTACTTTCCTTCTTTTTAAATTTAGTTTTTCCAATTATTCTTTTTTCTTCCGCTTTCAATATCTCTTATTCCCTTTACCTTTCCTGATATCTTCTAATTATTCTCGGATAGTCTGATATCGCGTGAGTCCGATTATCATAATTTTTTGGCTTCTCTCCGTACAACATTCCTCTCTCTCCCCCTTTCCCTCTCTCTTTCTCGTATTCTCTCTGACCGCAGCGGATAATAAATTCGTTGCGGACGTCGACGTCGGTCGCCCACGGCGACGACGAAAAGCTTTGAATGGGAATCGCCGAGGATTGCCGAGGAAGACGTATACGCACGCACACACTAGAATTCCTATAACTTGTATCATACACGTTCGCGCCGGTCGCGGCGGGCCGACTAAATATAGCAGGAATTCGTACCTTACGGTGTGAACTCTGGAGCGCGAATTATTCCCTCTCTTTCTCGCTCTCTCTCGGTCTTTCTCTTTCCTCTTTCATCCGCCTGTCTGTCCGTCCGTCCGTCCTCGCGATCCTCGAGCAAGCACCGTCCACCAGCGAGCGAAACCGCACTGTAATTTCTCACGCATACACTTTTGAAACGAGCCTTTGTCATTTGCCAGTCACACGGTCGAGTTCTTTGAGCTTTTCTGGACAATCACGAGACGCACGGCGTGTCTCCACTTCATTTTGCCGAACACTCTCCGCGAGACATCGAGGAGAAGAACGACGACGAGGACGACGACAGCACGGCGCACGGCTCGAACGCTGCCATCTCGTCTTTATTTACTAATTTTGGACGTGTGCGACCGAAACGCCAGGAACGGACGAACGTTCAGACCGTGAAACGTCCGCGGCACCACAGGAACGGTGGCAATTAATGGTACTAGCGACGGGATCCGGTCCACCAACCTTCTCCAATCGAGAACGAGAATTGCTGAATTCACATTGGCTGCGTTCAGCAGAGAAAGCAGCTTTGCAACTGTTGTAAAATTCTTCAATA